GCCTTCAAAAAGCCATCCAAAAGAGCCACCACCGCTACATCTGGCGGTCGACCCGTGAAGCGCAACGGAATAGTGGGCGAACCTGCCCACAAAAAGCTAAAGCCAAACGGCAGAACTACAAGAAACAATAATGCTCAAGAACTTCCTCACAACCTAGGTTCAGCTACTCTGCTATCCGAGTTGCAAGATAAGAGCGCTCCAATCAAGCTAGACACCCACGACACTTCTATAAAGAAAGAAGAGATAGATGCAATTTCCAATACCTTGCAGAGTACTGTTGACAAGGCCACAAGAGCGGCCTCGGGGCCTAGAGAAAAAGAGAAGAGATCCAAAAAGACTAATACATATGGCCTCACACCTGGAATTACCCCATTTCCTGATTGGGCGCATCCCACCCCTGATGAAAGTGAAGAAGTCAATCGGTTACTCTCCACCGTACATGGAGAGATTGTTGCGCCTACCACTATCCCTGAGCCATCTCTCACTGTTACCGGCTGTGGCGAGGTTCCATCAGTCCTTGATGCACTCATTCGCACTTTGCTCAGCGGAGCAACAACAGGCAATAACTCCGCCATGGCTTTCAACGGTCTTGTGCAGGGGTTTGGTATCCTGAAAGAGGGTGTTGGTAAAGGAAGTGTGGATTGGGATGCTGTCCGCCGCGCGCCGCTCAAAGATGTCTTCGAAGCCATCAAGCGTGGCGGCCTAGCAGACGTCAAAAGCAAGAAGATCAAGGCTATACTAGACATGGTCTATGAAGAGAATCAGCAGCGCAGAGACATGCTGCTGAAGGGTTCTCAGGACGCGCCACAGGATCTGCTTACAAAGTCCGAAGGTGGCAAGCAGTATGAAATTGCATGCGCCGACCAGAATTTCCTATCCCTGAACCATCTTCATAGCCTTGCTACAGAGGACGCCATGGTGGAGTTGGTCAAATACCCCGGGATTGGTCCGAAGACTGCTGCTTGTGTCTTACTGTTTTGTTTGCAACGCCCTTGCTTTGCGGTTGATACGCACATCTTCCGTATCTGCAAATGGCTGGGCTGGGTGCCTCCGGACAAAGCCACGGAGATTACGGCGTTCAGCCATCTCGAAGTACGCATCCCTGATCATCTGAAGTATTCCCTTCATCAGCTCCTCATCCGTCATGGTAAGTCTTGCCCACGATGTCGGGCAATTACCGGGCAGTCATCTGCCGGATGGGAGGAGGGTTGTGTGATTGACCATTTGGTGAAAAGGACTGGAAAGAGGAAGGGAGGTAGCACGGAATCAACGGAGGATGTCAAAACCAATGGACGGAAACGCCGTGGTTGAGCAGAGATGCTTTTAACCTCAGCAACATGTGTGAATTTTGTACAGAGTAGTTTGCTGGTTTTTGGCGAGTTGGTGTTGTCATTGCTTGTATAACGTAGAGCTAGAATTTTTTAAAAACATACTAAAACCCAACCCTTTCATGGCGATGACGAACATCATAAGTATCAGTAGTGGTAGATGCAACTATATATACTATCCGATGAAGATCTACTACGTCTGGCATTTCAACTGACTTTCTGGGGTACCGCCTGAGACCAATTCATAGGGTCAAAAAAATTAAGCCCTGAAATAAATATGAAGCCTTGTATGAAGCCATAAGAACATATAAATGAATAGTTTCCTATCTTCATATCTGTCCATGACCTCTCATCAATTGTTCACGACAAAAAGCTGGATGGAACCCGCCCCCTTGGCACGTGCACCCGCATATCGGAGCAGTGGATAATCGATCGAACCACCTCCGGACAGTCCTTAAGTCCCCTCCTCCCTTTTGCCCTTTCCCTGTCTTTTCGCACACTTAGACGGGCCCGGGAAAGCAGAGCACTGAGTCAATCGCCCCGTGCGACTTTCACCATGGACTCACTCAACCAATTCATCCCTCCGGCTCTCCTGCCTCTGGTGGACCACCTCCGGACTCAGGGCCCGTTACTCGGCGTCACGTTGCTCTCGCTCGCAGCCGCGTACCTTGGTTATCTCTACGTTCTGGGCAGGAAGGAAGCTGCCGTTACATTCAATGTGCCTATTCCTTCAGAGATTCGGGCCAATTGGAAGGGCGAGAAGTGGGATAACCTTCAAGGGGAGGGAAGAAAAGTGCTGGAGGGCCAAGTTCGGGGAGTGAGTCTGCCTGTACCCTCTCCTTTACACAACATACCTGCCTCTAAATATCTTGACATATTTCTGACTTCTTCCTCCTGCGCAGCAATGGAACGACAACTTGATCATGAGCTATTGTCCCGCGGACGGACGAGTACTCGGTAATGGAATCAAACCCGCAACTCCTGACGACATCGATCGCGCAGTCCTGGCTGCGAAGAGCGCACAACTGGAATGGGCCAATACTAGCTTTGCAGAGAGGAGGAAGGTCCTGAGGACGTTGCTGAAGTGTGTACTCATCTTGCCATGTCAACTTTCACCCACCAACGCAGGCACTGACCTTGAACCCTTCATTCAACAGATACGTCCTCGACCACCAAGATGAACTCGTGACCGCTTGCTGCTTGGATTCAGGCAAAACCAAAGTCGACGCTGCATTTGGAGAGATCCTCGTCACCGCCGAGAAGCTGAAATGGACCCTCGACCACGGTGAAAAGGCCCTAGCACCGGAATCGCGCCCGACAAACTTCCTCATGATGTACAAGAAGAACATGGTCACCTACGAGCCTCTAGGCGTTGTCTCTGCCTGCGTTTCATGGAACTACCCCTTCCACAACTTCATCTCCCCTGTTATCAGTGCTATCTTCGCAGGAAACGGTGTCGTCGTGAAACCCTCCGAACAAACCGCATGGTCCTCCGCTTTCTTCCTCGAGGTCATCCGCGGCGCCCTCTCCAGCTGCGGACACTCGCGCGACCTCGTTCAAAGCATCGTCTGCCTCCCCAACGTCGCCGACCGCCTGACCTCCCACCCGGACATCTCCCAATTGACCTTTATCGGCTCCAAGCCCGTGGCCCACAAAGTCTGCGAGTCCGCCGCTAAATCTCTCACCCCGGTGACCGTCGAACTGGGTGGCAAGGACCCAGCCCTGGTTCTCGATGACTCCCGCACCGTCAGTGAAATCCCCGCCATCGCCTCGATCCTCATGCGTGGTGTCTTCCAATCCGCCGGCCAGAACTGCATCGGCGTAGAGCGCATCATCGCCCTTCCCAACGCATACGACAAACTCGTTGAGACCGTTACCTCCCGTATCGCCCGTCTTCGTCTCGGTTCCATTCTTCTCGACTCCCAAACCTCCGCCGGAACCCCCGACGTCGGCGCCATGATCTCCCCGGCCTCCTTCGACCGCCTGGAATCCCTCATCGCCGACGCCGTCAAGCAAGGCGCTCGTCTGATCTGCGGTGGAAAGCGCTTCGAGCACCCCGAGCACCCTCTGGGCCACTACTTCGCCCCGACCCTCCTTGTAGACGTGACCCCGACCATGAAGATCGCCCAGCAGGAGCTCTTCGCTCCAGTCTTCCTCGTGATGCGCGCCTCCTCCGTTCCCCACGCCATCTCCATCGCCAACTCAACGGACTACGGCCTGGGTGCCAGCGTCTTCGGCTACAACCAGACTGATATCGCGAAGTGCGTGGCGAACATCAAGTCGGGCATGGTGTCGGTCAATGACTTTGGCAGCTACTATGCGGTTCAATTGCCGTTTGGTGGCGTCAAGGGATCCGGATACGGTCGGTTTGCGGGTGAAGAGGGCTTGAGGGGTGTCAGTAATATCAAGGCTGTCTGCGTGGATTGGTTCCCTAAACTTATGGCGACGAGGATTCCGCCCAGAGTGGATTATCCTATTCGCAAGGGTGATGGTGCGAAGCAGGACGGCACGGGTGCATGGGAGATGTGTAAGGGAGTCGTGGAGACGGGGTATCAGATTACGTTGGGAGGGAGAGTGAGTGGTATTTTGAGGCTGTTGACGAATATGTAGGTGCATACATACCCGGGTGGATGGTACGAGAGGGAAGGATGTTAGACTATTGATATGGTGATTGATGGTAATGTGTACGATAACATAACATAACATAGGTAAATATATCTTCATATAATGACATTATGCATGCATATAATCCCTTTACCTCACTACTTTGTATATCTTAGAAACAGTCAAGACATCGATATCCACAATCAACCTATCAAACAAAGCAAACACCGTCCCAGGGCATCCCCTCTCACCTGACCTTCCCCCTTCCCAATCCATCATCATCAAACCCTACCACTAGTCCCCATCCAGCCCCCAAGGAACCAGGGGGGGAAACCACAAGTCATGACGTCACTACACCACCCCCTCCCCCTGTCAAATCTAAATCTACAGGGGGAAAATCAAGACCAGCCATAACGTCAAGGGTCTCAGCCTTATCATAAGTGGCAATCAAGTGAACTGAATCCGTCGTCACATCAAAAATGACCTAAACAAATATTGAATTAAAGTAAAATGTGAATGGGTACTTGATCCGCACCGGAAATTCCCCAAAGGGATTGAAGGTTGAAAACCTCAGCGTCGTTCTGTCGTCGGTATGACGGCATCCCATCCCAAGTAACAACAGTTTGGTACATGGTTCCAAGGATTAGATTCCTATTGTATAGATTGAAAACTGGGAAATACTACTATTTAATATGTAGGGTGTATGTCGATCATAATTATTTTTGGCTATTATTTTTCTTTTCATTCACTTGGACAAGCAAGCCAACTGGCAAAGTACATCATCCATCATACATCATCGATCGTCCCCCTTGTACAAAGTACTACTACTTCATTCACTACTAAAGTATTACGGCTGAGTGTCGCTGCACGACATATATATATCCCCGTGTGATACTTTCGAAATCTTTTTTTGATCAACATGCGTCCTTTCAGTGATACTTCTACTCATACTCCTGCTTCTTCGAGCTATAATTCTACGGTGCCGAAGGGATCGAAATAACTCTGTTCATCGTACTACCTACTACATACAACTACTACTGCTACAACGGAATACGTTGAGTCGTCAATATGGGTGCTGTGGTTTCTTGTGTATGTCTTTCTTTCTCTTCTTCTGCTCCATAACCAAAGTGGTGATTGATGATTGGCTAACACATTCTCTATATATAGATCACTAGTATCTTCCACGCCATCGGCGCTTGCCTGATGGGCATCGTCAACACAATCGGTGCTGTCTGCAAGGCTATCATCGACGGTGTCGTTACCCTCTTCGACGTGATCATCTCGTGCCTGACCTGCGGATCCTGCGGTGGAAGGAGGAGAAGAACGCGGAGGTCAAGAGTCTGACATTGATTAAATACGAGACATGTCCGACCTTGACCTCGACCTTTGACTTGAACGCCATGACGTTATGACGGATATGAATATGGATATCAGTTCGGAGTTTTTGTGGTTCCCTTGGATTGCTGCTGCGTTTCCTTCTCGTCTTATTTGCTGTGCCTGATATCCTGTGTCTCCATATCGAGCAATGAAACCTTCACCAAATTATAAAATGTCGAAGTAAATTGGGCGTACCCCGTAGTTGTATACCGTGTATGTCCTGCGGACTGAGGTCATCCTGGTAATTTATCCCGAGATGCCTGTCCCAAGTTTAGCCATCAATTGATCCTTGAGCTGAAAGTCGTCAGATGGGATATCCTCCCATCGCTGACTCACCAGCAACCGGACGAAAGGGTCCTCCACCTCGTCCGCATACTTCAAAGCCACGTAGAAGTGATTTGGCAGGACCGGCCACCGAATGGGGTACTTGTACCACGGCACACGAATCCGCATGCTCAGCAATCGCTTAAACGTTGCGAGGTCACGGTCTCGAATCGTCTGTCGGAGGATTCGCTTCGCGCGCGGGTGCTCGGGATCCTCGTCAAGATAGCCGTCCATTGAGAGCAGCTCGAGGAAGTCCAGTTTAGAGTCGGTCCAAGGAGGAAAAAGTAGCTTGTCCGGGACCTGGACTGGTAGGTTGGCTGCGAAGCATGGTAGCCGGAAGATGTCAGTCTCCTGGTAGATCTCGCTCGATGGACGGATCTGAACTGCGCCAGCATCGAACCACACTGCAACTTTGCAGTCCACATCCGACTTTGGGATTTTGGCTTTGAGTATTAGGTCGCCTTTGCCGCGATGACCATGGGGCGTTTCATCAGGCGTGGATTGTACATCCTTGTCGAATTGCTCGCCAATACCGATGAGAATCTGGCGGTCTTCGGGTGACAAGTCTAGCTGTAGACACTTGCGGCGGATCGTATGCTCGATGTAGTCCCTCTGGCACTTGCGGATCAAAGGTAGTGTACACCAGCGACAACCGAGGATGGTGTTTTGCAGGTTCTTCCTCTCATTAGGAGAGATGGCGAAAACATCAAGAGGCCAGGGAAGAAAATCAGGTGTAAAGAAATCCTGTCTCGCGCTTTCGTTGGTGCTGCTGAAGACATAGCGAATGACCCAGGTGTATAGGACCGTGTTGGAGAGAGCCCGGGCGATGTGTATGGAGGCTCGTGGGAGGTTGACTTCGAGACAGTGGAGGAAGATCTCTTGGATAATTTCCACTGGTAGCCTCTCGAGTGCTGATAATCCGGCTAAGGCCGGCTGCGAGACGTTAGGCATTGTGAACTCAATAGTAATGGTCTTCCAACTAGTAGCTATCCGTATACTGGCGGGATTATATATTATGAAATCCTGAGGGACGGTACTTGGAAAAGATGGCCTGAGCTCCAACAATCATCCTGGTGATAAGCTTACCATCCTGAATTTAAGTACTTGTAGAGTGACAGGGCCATCGGTGTTTAATGGTCATCAAAATAAGGTCTAGACCACTCAGTCTCTCAGCTGAGTTCCCGGCGAAGCAAAAATAGGGGCGCGAATCTGTCAGAGTGGAGATCGTAATTTGATTGAACCGATAACAAATAGGTTCGCAGTAGGTAATCTTAAGCCTCTAACTTTGATGATTTGGCTTTGTGGCTCATAATCGATCCATCACGACGTGGATGTGCAATCCAGAGTCAGCCTTGAAGTGCGGGATTCCCTGTGTTGTTGTTGGCGCAGAGAGTTTATGCTGCTCGGGATCGGCTAAGTCTCGAGTGTAATCCCAGATGCCTTGCAAACTACGACCATGACAAACAAACTGGTTGCTCAATGCGGCAATCAAGACCGGAATTGGAAGCAATGCGATCGGAGTGAACTGAGGCTTGAATTTGGGGAAAAGGCGGGGATCGTTATAAAGAAGCATCTAAATTTATCATCTTGACTGCCCTTGGTGTTGGCATGGGACTAATGTCGATAAGACGTCGCACTGGGCGCCCACTATTCGCAATTTCCTTGCAAAATGCTACGATTCATTTGCCCCGAATATTGGTGCGTGCGTATTGAATATCTTCAATGGTAGTAATAGTCGACTGCTTGATATGGAGCGTAACATAGCGGTCGAGGGCCGATATACACAAACGGTCCGGTGGTGAGGGAACCATCTAAATTCAACATTGTTTCTATACATGACCCTACAACCGACATCACACTGCCAGAGAGCAAGGGTATCCTAACTGGCCAACATGCTTGACAACAAAGGGTAACTTCGTGTGATTATACTGGTCGAAGGATGGAGAGACGTAAATAGGTACAAAAGATGTGACCGTTTAAACAACGGACATGTCGCCGAAGCGCTCCTGTAATTCAAATATCCATTAGTTTCACTCGTCGCAGACTCAGGCATTAATGCAGGTATTGTATCACGCACCTTGTAACCAGCCGGCATCCATCTGCCCTTGGAGACAAGGGAGGCGGTCTTCTCGTCGATCTCGGGCTGAGCGGCGGCAACCTCGTCCTAAACAGAAAAGAAGAAGAGACATTAATAAATCTGTACCAAAACCCTGCGTACTCCAACTCAGGAACACCATAACATACAACAGTGAGGTCCTCGAAGGGACGAGCGGTCTCAATGTTCTCAAGGGTCTTCTGGAGACTGCGGAGCTCGGACTCAACCTTGCCCTTGGTCTCCTCAGCGCCCTTGACGGCCTGGGCCTCGAAAGCGTCGATGGCCTTCAGCTGGCGGCTGACATCGTAGGTGGCGGGCTTGAAGGTCTTGAAGTGGTTCTCGATCTCGTTGACGATGGCCTGGTTCTTCAGGACCTTGCGGTAGTGCTCGAAGTCGACAGTCTGGGCCTGCTCAGACAGGATCTGAACCTTGCGGCGCGCATCGTCGTTACGCTTCTTGAAGGCCTGGAGGGAAGCAGCGGTCTGGCCGCGGAGTCCGAGGGAGCTGGTCAACTTGGCCCAGTCGACCTTGAGAGCGGCGCTACGCTGTACACCAAGCAGTTAGCTGACACATTTCTCTCGCCATCCGAGACAATTTTATGACAAAAACAGGATCCCCACATACAGTGGCCATTTTGAGATGTGGAACGGAGAAGGTTGGGGGAGAGAGGGGAGTTCAACGTGCGAAGCTGGAGGTTCCGGGAGGGTGAGGGTTGAACTCGGCAAGATTTGGAATGGGAATGCCCTCACGTGACCACGGCTTTCCCGTGTTCCCGAACTGGCACTACACAAGGGGAGTTCGCAGGGGGCGGGTGTGCGTATAGATAGTCCGGAGAGCTTACATGTTTATACTTTCAATTATAGCCCGAGGTTTTTTTGATATTTCTTCGAACTTGAATATACAAGTCTCCGGTTACGGAAGAATTTGTGTACTTTTTTTAATTTAGAAAATATTCCACCCAAATGGAAGGTGCCAAATAGTGCTTCACATCATTCAATTCTGCTTTTGGCTAAATGATTTACACTATGGGGCCTGACAGTACATGCATCCTAGGGGATATCAATCTGACCTCGCACCCAAAATCCATCCTGCCAGCAGGGCCAAGAGACGCCAGCCACCGATTCATGCGTTCATTTCCGGCGGTGTTCATATGCTGAGAGCCATGATGGAGTTGACGATATCGTTGTCGTTCTCCCGGAGAGCCTTGACGGCCTTCTTGCGGGACACATTAGCCTGGGCCATAACCAGTTCGATGTCCTTAGCCTCAAGACCAGACTCATCGACCTCCTCGCCATCATCCTCTTCCTCCTCCTTCTTGGCCTCAGCCTCGGGGGCCTTGCCCTTGCCGTGGTCGTGCTCGTGGTCGTGACCAGCGTGCTCGTTGGCAGCAGCCTCAGCAAGCTGCTGGGCAGCGGTAGCCTGAGCGGTGGCGTTCAGGTCTTCGATCTTGGCCTCACCGAAGATGCTATCGCAACAATGTAAGCTTGATATGATTCATCAATTCGTCATAGTCCAAGGAGACACATACATCCAGGTGTTGCTGGAGGGGGAGCGGTAGACATCGGGCTGGTTGATGACGAAAAGGATCTATATGCGTATAGATTAGCCTCAGCGGTCTGAGAAAATCCTTCGTCGCCCACAATAACTCCACGAGTGCAGGTTTTGTTGAGCGTCGCACGAAAAGGAGGGACAGGGCCGTATTCATACGTTCTTGGGGCGACGGAGAGTGACACGAGTGATGCCGGGAACATGCTTCAGGCCGAGCTTGCCAATGGCCTTGCGAGCCTTCTTCTCGTTGCGAGAGTGGATGGTGACAGCGGCACCACCGGGGATGGTGGGCTCATCGCCAGCCTCAGACTCGGAGGAGCTGCCGGCATCCTCAACGTTGGTCTTGGGAACCTCCTCGTCGGGGAGCTCTTCAACACGGGGGTCGGCCATTTTGTAATTCGAGTGAGCCTAGAAGGGCTGTAGAGTTGATGGTCAGCAAATCGCACTGTGGGACGTGACTGGTCGCTGAAGGTGGGAGGTTCGAAGATGTCCCTCTCAGACCGTGGTACACCCACAAATCTGCGGGAAATCGCCAAAATCGACCGTAAAATTGAACTTCGCGGCAAGGAATTCCATTTCAACTTACCTAGACGCGGAACAAAGGGCTGTGGTGGATGAGGGGGATTTTTTTGCCTTGTTGTAGTTGGGAAGTCGCAAAGCTGTGTGAATGTCATCCTGCCGAAAATCGTTAGCGAGCTTATTGGGACCCTCACCCCGGACACACAGAAGCGATGCATCTACAGATCGTAGTACAACCACCACTTCTACTGACGCAAGTGTTCATTCTCCACTATTTAAATATAATATAATCTGCAGCAATTCATTGCACCATATCAATTCTACTGTTTTGATTTACTGGAACACATTTGGCTTTGTGGATTGGTTTTTGTCTAAGTTGATGACCAGGTCATGTCAAGATCATTAATACCCCGAGATACCATTTGCCATATACTAATTGCAAGGCGTTCCGTGCCGCCCT